ATATACCTTATAGACTAACGCACAATGTTTATCCCGATTCCAGCTGCAAGGAATACCAGAACTTGAACGCCTTCTTCGCCGTGGTAATGGGCCTGTCCAATATGGCAGTGTCCCGGCTGCAGCAGACCTGGGAGAAGATCCCGTCGAAGTTCCGGAAGATCTTCCAGGAGTTCGAGGCCCTGATCGACCCCAGTCGCAACCACAGGGCGTACCGCGTATTCGTGGGCAAGCTGCAGCCGCCGCTGATCCCGTTCATGCCGCTCCTGCTCAAGGACATGACCTTCGCCCACGAGGGCAACAAGACCAGCCTGGACGGCCTGGTGAACTTCGAGAAGATGCACATGATGGCCCAGACGATGCGCACCATCCGCTTCTGTCGCTCCCGGAGTTTGGGTAAGACAGCCCACCATCCCACCATCCCACCGCCCTCCATCTTATGTTCTCATTAATTTCGATTTACAACAGGACTGGAGCCGCCGTCGCCGAAGAGCGAGGGCGAGGTGAGGTCGTACATCAGCAGCTTCCGCGTCATCGACAACCAGCGGGTGCTCACCGCCATGTCCCAGAAGGTGGAGCCCACCAGGAAGCTGTAAGCCCAAAAGGCCCTGTATCTGATTAGCGTGTAGCGTGTGTTAAGTGTCTACCCCCGAGTGTGTGTTAATCAAACCGCAATTAGCTGCACAGTTATGAGCTTAGCCGGGTTGTTATCGGGAACCCAATTCGGGGCATGGCCACCACAACCCGGACCAACTTTCATCCGCATTCGCATCCGCATCCGCATTCGGATTAGCTTAAGCTACAGTGTATCTACGACCCGACTAGGAACTATCTCAATCTTCTAACGAACTGAAATCCAAACTGAAACGCATTTCAATGCGAACGAGAAACTTTTTGCTTTAGTACAAAACGAAAGATGGAAAACAAATTTAAAATTCGGAAATCCCGGCGGAAACCGAAACGAATATAAACAAAACTTGGACGTGTGTGATACTAAACATTTAGAGGAGGCAACATCAAAACAAACAGCACTAAACTGCATAATTTCCTACAGAACTTTACTATATGAATCCTACGCAAGCTAGTAAAATAATTTGTAAAATTATGTAACGTATCCAAGAGCATGGAATCTATTTTTTTAAAAACCCTAAACTAAAACCAACTATTAATCAGTCTAGTTAAAGCTAGTTGTTAACATGTAAGCTATTTAGCGGATAAGTTATTTTATTTATAGTTTCAAGTTTTTCTTTCATCTGGTTAATCCATTACGCTCCTAAGTACTGCAATTCGCAAATAAAACACGAAACCATTTATTAATATTTATTTACACAACCATTATTTGTTTTATTTTGTAGAAAATTAAGCCCTTGTTTTAAGTTAGCTATAATATATGCAAAGCAAGTGCATTCAAAACATTAAACACTGGAGAGGGACCTTATTAGTTGTAGTTTTGTACATATAGACTTGTAAAACCATTAACATTGATTATACACTGAGTATAGCTGTGGTCAAAATATAAGTAGTATTTAAAATCAGCCTCAGATAAGGACGATCGGATCACTTTCAAACTTAGTCATATTTTTAAGTTCCCCCATTAAAAGTACTACTTCTATTTCGAACACAGCTATATACATTTTGGATGTAGTTAATATACTCGGTACTCGTAGTGAGCAAGGTACTTTAAACTCGTTTCAATGGATGAATTAGTCGCCGATCCTACAAAAGAACATTAGAATCAGATTAGCAAGCGGATTTTCTTCTCCGTATAAACCCAAATCGGGCAAGTACTTGTTTATGTCTGGTTGAAAAAAATTCCTTATTTTTGTTAATAAAAATACATTGGAATGAAAGAAGGCCCTGATGTTTTAGCAAAACTAATTTGTACCGAGTATTCTGAAGTCGGAGATCCGACTACAGGTTTTGTTCTTTTTCAAAAGTCAATCCTAGTAAAATCCGTTTGTCTTTTGGGGTCTGTCGGAAAATGTATGTATTTATGAACCCATATGCATGACCCTATGGGAGGAACGAATTTTCTAGCATCAAACAGTAAATAATATTCCCTGTACTTGTAGTTACCATTTTAACCCAACTCCTCTCCCAAGAAAAGGTCTCTCAAACAACGATTTATCTCATAAACAAACACCATTCCTAGATGTAACCAAACTTTGACCATGATGCGTAGAATATAATTGTCGTTTTTAATAACAAATTTTCCTTTACGTACAACAATCAATCAAACAATATAAATGTAACTATTCTCCAAGATATTATGTATCCAGTGGTTTCTCCCTCAAACAAAGTAATACAAGAAGAGCAAACGAATTTTCAATCAAAGTTGTATAAATATAGCAAACCGATTCAAACGATACAATACTGTTTAGTTTATAGCTAATCAGATGTAAAAATTTCGTATTAATTTACAAGCAACGCAACACCAATTTTAGTATGGAACAGTTTGTAAGTAGAGTTGGAAAGCCTTTAATTACTTTATCTACACCACGTGCTACGGATAAGTGTAGAACCTATCACAATCACCCGCATAGAATTGTGAAGGCGTTATAAGCCCGATCCTAAACAATCCTTTAAGGAAACTTTTGACAAAATAAACCAACTCTAATAGCATTAATAGGGCGAGAAGATCAAATTGTGTATTAAATATTTATCTATCGGATCCATCATTTTAGCATATAGTTCGTAGTACCTATCATAGTATTAAGCAATCGTTTCCAGCAAGCGGAAACCGTTATGTGTCAAAACCAAAAATATTTCTATATTTTTGAGTACTGCTATTATAAAGTAAAAGCAACAATACACAACTATTATAGTTATTGTTGTGCACTTTCAATAATACAGATATAAATGCTATATATATATATATACCAATATATTAAATATGCAACTACTCCAAAAAGGGAAAATTTCAAATTTTACTTGTGATTCGATTTGACAATCTCAAAACATAACTCTATAAACTTTTAATTTCTCAAATATTACCTAAGCACTTTGCATAAATTAAACATCATTGGGTAGCTCACGGATGTACACAAACAGATATATTCATGCTATACGTATATACCTCCGTTACCGAAATATAGCTATTGCCAATCAGTCATAATCAGTCAGTAAATGTTCGAGCCGTAACTAGTAATAACCACCCAATGTTCAAATCAGTGTTTACATGTCTAACGCAAAACAATCTTGAAGTTTACTTACCTACCATATAGCAAAATAGAATAAATAGTTCGTAATACGGGATGAAAGAGACGGCTCCCATGAGCTCACAGTAAGAAGACAACACCAACAACCCACTTAGAAGTAATTAATTCCATCGAGCATAATATAGACGTGCATATTGTGCAGCAGACCAGAGATATTTTAACCGTACTCCTGATTACATATACTAATTACATACTTGTATACCCATATTGCGATGAGCGAAGTGAGATTTATGCAAAGCAGAGTAAATATTTTAAAGGTAACCCTTAAATGTTGAAACTAATTGTAAACCAGCATGTATCTTTGAATGTCTAACATTTTGAACTCAACTAATATTCAAATAAAGATTTATGTGTTAGCGAGCGCCACTTGTTTTTTATTCGTATTGAAAGGAAGAGATACCTGTGATTAAAAATTAGAACCCAATTTGATGTTATATTGTTGAGAAGGATAGTTGTGTCACTGCTCTACCTGTTGGATTTCTATTCCAACGTGGTATAGTTCTGGAAAAAAATAATATTACTACGCCCGATCCTCATAAAGCAAAAGGGTATATTGAATTTGTTGAAAATAATGTAACATGTAGATGGACGTTATTTTGAATTATTATTGAAATTATTAACAGGGTATCGGGACACTCGACTATACTGTTCCTTCTTGTTTAGTTACAAAGACTTAATTTAATTTAAGTAACTTAATCTAACTAACTTAATCCAAACTTAAACCAAACTTCGCGATACACAATATTAACACAAACAATTGTTTACTTGTTGGTTATCTTTGATCGCTATACAAGATCAGCCTAGTTTTTTCATCTTCTCGTAAATCTATGATTCATAAGCTTTTATATTAAAGCGATTCGATAAACAAAAAACACAGTTCAGCTTTTAAAATTGAGTGCATGAGCAGATACAAATCAAAAATCGCGACGAGTATAACATCTCACATTGTGAGTATCATTTTTGGCGGTGGTCAAATATTTTGGGTTGCTTGTATTCGTTTCTAAAATAGGTTTTTTATTTGTTACTTTTTTATGCGATCAGTTTAATCGTCTTTGGCTGGACCATTTCGTAAGATGTTCACAAGTGGTTTGTGTTTTTTTTGGCAGATAATCAAAGATTAATAAGAATTTTTATAAAAATGGATAAATAAAAAAATATTTATTTAATCCTTCAACCAATTCTCCTTTTCATTTTATTTGTTGATGGCAATCAACTCGACCTACTCACAAAAAACTGACGATGCATCGAGCAGGCTATCAAACTGTTAAAAGGGTTTAACCCCTTAAGGGTTATATACAGATAGAAGGTAAAAAAAAACGAATTTTTAAAAAACATTCTGAGGGAATTATTAAATTGAATTATCTAATATTTTTTGTAAGCATATATTTGAACTGTATTTTAAGACAAACTATTGGGAAAAATATTTATTCAGCTAATCTCCGGGAGCTCCTCTCATATAAGGCGTTTTGAGGTGACCACTATATCTTTGGACTGGATCATCCGAAATTTAAAAAACAAAGAGATGTCGGTAAAGTATTGTCTAATATAGTAATTAATCGGTGGAATTAGCAAAATAAAGTTGTTTTACATTTTGGCGGTTTCTCAACCAAAAAAAAAAGCAAATTCAAATATCGATTTATGTGGAATGAATATCGATTACCTGTTGATATTGCGCGCCTAAAGCTCAGTTCAAAAAAGCTCTTGCTGCTTGGGAATAACCGCGCGGTGTCCATGACGTCACCGGATGACACAGCAGCTGCTCGGCCGCCGTGACAAAATCATCGAAACCGGCTGAGCGGGCCAACAGTTGCCCGCGAAACCTTCGACGTGCTGGAGCGGACAGAGATTGCTCCTCCATAATTACCACATCGCCGCAGAAGCGTCCAATTTGCACAGCGTTAATTATCAGCGCCAGCGACACGATGACCAATCTGGCTCCCACCATCCGGCTGAACAACGGGCGCGAGATGCCGATCTTGGGCCTGGGCACCTGGAAGTCCTTCGAGTCGGACGCGTACCACTCGACGCGCCACGCCCTCGACGTGGGCTATCGGCACCTGGACACCGCCTTCGTCTACGAGAACGAGGCGGAGGTGGGCCGGGCGATCGGCGAGAAGATCGCGGAGGGAATGGTGACCCGCGAGGAGGTGTTCGTGACGACCAAGCTGGGCGGGATTCACCACGACCCCGGGCTGGTGGAGCGCGCCTGCCGCCTGAGCCTGAGCAACCTGGCCCTGGAGTACGTGGACCTCTACCTGATGCACATGCCCGTGGGCCAGAAGTTCCACAACGACAGTAACGTTCACGGCACCCTGGAGCTGACGGACGTGGACTACCTGGACACCTGGCGCGAGATGGAGAAGCTGGTGGACCTGGGCCTGGTGCGCAGCATCGGCCTTTCCAACTTCAATGCGGCGCAGACGGAGCGCGTGCTGGCCCACTGCCGCATCCGGCCGGTGGTCAACCAGGTGGAGTGCCACCCCGGCTTCCAGCAGCGCCAGCTGCGGGAGCACGCCAAGCGGCACGGCCTGGTCATCTGCGCCTACTGCCCCCTGGCCCGTCCCCAGCCCGCCCGCCAGTGGCCGCCGTTCCTCTACGACGCGCACGCCCAGCAGCTGGCCAAGAAGTACGGGAGGACCACGGCCCAGATCTGCCTGCGGTACCTGATCCAGCTGGGCGTGGTGCCACTGCCCAAGTCCTCGAACAAGTCGCGCATCGAGGAGAACTTCCGGGTCTTCGACTTCGAGCTGAGTCCGGAGGACGTCGCCGGCATGGAGCAGTACCACACGGGGCAGCGCACGGTGCCCTTCTCCGGAATGGCCGGTCACAAGTACTACCCGTTCCACGATGAGTTCTAGGCTCCATCCGAAGGGCGTTTCAGAAATTTCTGGCCGCCGCTGTGCCAGAAGTTCAAGGGCTTTAATTGAGTTTTGGAGTTAATTTGCTTATTCTTTAAGAACAATTGTTTCGAAACCTACTGTTGGTCTGGTTTTAAATCGTTTACTCAACGTGAAAGAGGTGTGTGGGATCCCGATCTTGACCCTTGGTTGAGATTTATTGGAAAATATTTCTAAGGCACCCCCGCAAATGTAGTATTTGTATTGTAAAATAAAGTATACTACTTAGAAAATCTCCGGGCGGTTAGTCTAATCAGCTTGTCTAACGGGGCCGCTTGATAAACGGCGTTATCTGAAGTATCTGGCGTGTGTGTCTGTCAGCTAGAATTCATAGTCGGTTCTGGGTATATAACGAGCTTTCATTCAGATGAACGTTTATGATAGTAGCCAGCCATAGCTGCAAACTAGACGCATCCGAATCATATCTCTGCTTATCAGCGCAGCAGATTCTGAAATTGTGAAGTCGAATTTTAAAACGGCGACCTTGGGCAGCGATAACTACAGATGGAGCATCGATAAAAATAAGTTTCGATAACATGCTGCTTTACCGTTATACAGCACTGTAAACTGAGGTATGGCAACGCTGGCTGCGCTGTTTAAATATTCCGTTTTCTCGAACAAAAGTAAATAAGAAAAAATGCAAGCCCAGTTAATAAAGCAACTACGCTTAGTAAAACCATCAAAATGTGACAGAATAAAACTTTTAAAGCAAAAAAAGTGCGACCAGACAATCGATAAATACAGCACAATCTTTAATATCGATACTTGCGATAGTGCAACTAGAAGAAATAACGAAAATAAATAAAGCAGCCGCAACATGTCAATAATATTGAGACGAAACCTGCGAGCCTCTTGGATGCTAAAGGTAAGCTAATAGCTGGTTATAATCATCCACTAAATATCAAATATTTCATTCAGCAGGCCTGCTACAGCTCCAACGCGCAATCGGGGGACTCCGCCAAAACAATACCCAAAAACCTGCTCGAGGACAAGCAAACGGCCGTACTGCAAAAGGAGAACGGAGCCATCTTCGACAAGCGGCCCTTCAAGCTACACCTGGATAAAGGTACGTTTCACTCATCTCACTTAGCTAAAATCTGTGATTGTGTTTACATAACCACAACTCGCGACCCCCACAGATAAAACCTACAGCTGGTGCCTGTGCGGCAAGTCCAAGTCTCAGCCCCTGTGCGATGGTATGCACAAAAACGAGTTTCTCAAGATCAAGCAGAGGTAAGTGCGACAATTACAAAAGTATAAACCTATTTAAGCATTTTCGTACTTGCCAGGCCCATCCGCTTCAAGGTGGAGAAATCAGGGGACTACTGGCTGTGCAACTGCAAACAGACCACCCACAGACCCTTCTGCGACGGCACCCACAAGCAACCGCACATCCAGGCAGCCGTTAAATAGTTTTAGCTTCTAGCTTCTAGCTCCTAGCTTTCGTCGATGTAATCGTGTGGGGAAAATGAGAAATGCATTAATTTTGAATTCAAGCAACACATGTTTTTTATTCTAGATTATAGAACGTAAGTGATACACCCTATTTATGCTTCCTAGTGGTGTATGAGCACATTTAAATACATTTTATTTGCGTCTGATGAAAGCACATGTAGACTATTATGTGTATATAGTTAGTGTGTTACAAGCTTTAACAAATTATTTACAATGATCAGAGAACAGTAAATGAGGAGGGTGGGATCAGTGTTTTTCACAAAAGTTTCCGGCCAGGAGCACTCGTCCGTTGAAAGTAAAATTAGGAAGCCAAAAATCAAAAATGGGTTTAGAAAATAGAAAGATGTTCGCTTTTATTCAAACTTTTTAACGAGCTCTACCTGTTTTTACACATAAATATAGAACTTAAAAAAATCGAGAGCAAAAATCACTTATTTTATATAATCATTTTGTTATGAAGCCAATTATTTAAAAATAGAAATTGAAAGAACGAGTTACAGTTTGATGAATGCCATCTCATTGTTAAATATTTTTGCAGATTTTACAAATTAGGCTCATTTGATCCACTACATACAACACTCAAAACGTTTAAAGTCAGCAAATGCAAAAGTTCAACTTATACGAAAAAATATAAATGTATTAAATTGGTTGTGGTTGTGTAAAGCGTATGATACAAAGACAAACTAATCCGAGATTTTGAAACAATTTTCTTAAATAGGTCTTTGCGTACGTAACAAAGAATTTTGAAAAGTGACGTCTGGCTTTCTATTAGATAGTGTGAGATTTAGGTTTCGTTTATTCCGCTAAAATACAAACAAATTACATATGAAATGATTGGTAATGATGTTCACACTCATCGGCAACAGCAGGACGCAGGATAACGTTCGCGGGCATAATTTTTAATCTAAAGATCTGCATAATATAAAAATAATTCCCGGACTCGACAATTTTATCAGCTTCATTTTTAAATCAAAGAAATGAGAAGAGGAATAACGATTTGATCACTTGGCGCTCCTGTTGTCAACCTGGGCTTTGGGAATTAAACACTTTACGCACTCGTAAGTCTTCTTGTTTGCACAACGTCTCCTTGCTTCCTGTCTAATTAATAAACTTTATTTTTGTCCCCTTCATCTTGCTTCTTGACCTATGTTTTGAATATGTATGCAGCAAATGAATTTCGTGGGTTGGTTTTTGCTTTTCTCGTCTTAAATTAATACTCCTCGTCCTCTGGTGGTGCATCGTCTGGCGGCGCAAAGCCATCCTGAAATTCAAGAATATATAGTCTAAGCGGTGACTAGGCCGAGCGAAAAAGTGTACGGACATGTCCTACCTCAGTCGCATATAGAATGTCCAATATCTTCTGAATGAGCGGATGCGCCTCGCCGTCATCAGCTTCTTGGCAACTATAGAAATGGGTGACCAGTTAGCGCGGTGTTCAGAAGTGAACATTTAGGCTTCGGGACTTACAGAATTTCAATGTCCCGCAACTTGGAGAAGTAAAAGTCACGCTCCTTTTCCAATCCCTCGAGGTTAATACGCATGTCCATGACCTGATCCTTAACATTATTATCTGTTTCTTGCTTAATGTCTAGTTGATCACCCACCTGGTTGGACATCTCCTCGATCTGCTGATTGTTGACCGCGTTGCCCGCGTCGTTCTTCTTGACCGTGCCCGTGCTGTTGGCTCCGGCATTTATTCTGCTGGCCGGGGCAGCGTTGTTCGTGCGTGGCAGCACCTTGGAGACTGCTTTAATGGGCGAAACAGGGCGAGGTTAGTAGGCGAATAAACCGGAGGCGGATAAGGAAGCTTGAGAATTCAACAAACGTGAAGCACAGACAGCTTAGCTATTCGTATATTGTGTTTGTGTTCACTGGCAGGATGATGTGCGTTTAGTATCTTGGATATATTGGCATGCGGTATTTACAACTGTCTGATCAGGTGGATTGTGCATTATGATAATGAAAGGAGAGGTAGCGATAGAAGGATACAAATAGGGAACCAAACCAAACCAACATACAGGGCTTCACTGCAGTCGTCGTCGCCGGGCGCGTCGTTGCCGTTGGGGCCCGTCGATAGCTGCTGGCCACACCGCTGGCCGCCGTGCCGGGCAGAGATTTAACCGCTCCCGAACCGAAGCCCATGGGGGCTCCTTCGCGCACCGCGCTGGCATCGTATTCCCTGCCATCGTAATTGGCATCGAAGAACTTTTTGAACCATTGCAAAAACTCGAAATTATCTTGGAAGCGACCTTTGATCAATTTGTCAATGGGTATAATCTAAAAGTAAAATGGGTGAGAAATATGCAGACAGGTGAGAGAGTGTGTGGTGAAACCAAACGCATTGGGAACAAAATAAGGATCAACAAAACACAGCATGAGATATGGGGACAAACAGGAAACCCTTTGGCAAGCCAAAGCAGTAGAATATACCTTTGCGAATCATCAATGAATCGTTTCGCAATGGTAAGAGCAGTGATGGGAAAGGTTGTAGAAAAAAAATTATATAATAATTTTAGCCAAATCCAAAAAAACCTTCGCCTAATTTGTGCATCTAATACTTCCAATAAATTGAATTCCAATAAATATTTAGTTTGGTAACTGTCATCAACAAATACAAGGTGTTTCCCATCACTGTGTACGAGGATGAAGAGGGGTTAGTGGGTTTGAATGTGGGACAATAGATCCTCCGACTTGTGTGCTTTGTGCTGTGATGCGACTGAATATGTGTGCATGTTGGGTAGTTGTTGGTGCTCCTGCTGCTCAAGACCAATGCGGTGGGTGTAGCTTTGTAACTTTGTGTGGAGTTGTGTGGTGTGCCATCCCAGTTCTGCCTGGTCCTGCTGCGTGCTTCACGTTCGTTCGCTTCGCAACTCAAAAGGAAATGGCAAGCAAATGGCTCGGTCCCAACACCGGAGTTCGTGGCCTCGAGAGATCCAGTCCATACCCGTAGCATTCTGAGCGATGACTCGTGGTGCCATGCGGCTGCTTCCGGCTGGCGCCTGCATTGGCCGGCGGTGCATCAGGTGGAGATCGTTGTTGCTACTGCCCACGCCACTGCCTCCGTTGCTGCCGTGTCCGTTGCCATTGCCCAGCTTGACTCCGGACCGCTGCGCCACCGGGTCGTACTCGCGACCGTCGTAATTGGCGTCGAAGAACTTCTTAAACCACTGGAGGAACTCGAAGTTGTCTTGAAAGCGGCCCTTAATCAGTTTGTCAACTGGTATGATCTTGGGTCGTTGTTGTTTGCGTGGTTGTGTTGTTGATTTGTAACGGAAATCGTAGTTAGTTACAACATACAAAAGTTGATTGGTACAGTAGACAGCTGCTCATAGCGAAGCTATTCGCTTTAAGCGCTTCCACTGTACCGTGCCCATGTCCACTCTACATTCTCAGGTTTGTTTTGGGTTTGTGTGAGTTCAAATCAAATAAAAAAATCTCTAAAGAAACGAATATATTCGAAGTGAGCAAGCATTACCTTATCCACAGACATCTTTTTGAAGCCCGCCTGCAATATCTTGAAGTTCTGTATGTACTCGTGCTCCAGATTTGTACGAAATTTGACACGCTTAACGGGCACTGAATTGGGGAACAGCATGTCCATGAACTGGCAGTATGCGGCACCTAGAAGTGGAAGCGTAGGTTGATTCCAATAAGTACCTAAAAGACTAAGACGATTCCACTGCCCACTTACCCGTGCAGAGCTCCTCGATTTTTGAGAACTGCGACTGGAGGCAATCGTTGACCCAGGACAGCATGTCGTGGCGCGACAGATTCTCTGACGTCACATTTGTGGAGTACACGTTTACAGCCATTTTGGTGGTGTCCTCTGGGTACTTGAGCGGCTCTGAAACGAAGATGCAAACGGCTGGTTAGTGCTCTGTGGGCGGTTGGTTGTACGGTCCCGTGTGGGAGTGCTGCTACCATGAACGGCTTTTAATTGCGCCAGCTAATAATTGTTTTGGCTCTGGGTGCATTGAAGCGTGTCCCATGTGCGTGCTCAATATCAAGATCACGATAATCATCAGCAGAAGCAAACGGCAACCGGGAACGCCAAATGATTGTTATTGGACATGTTACCGTTGCACACTCACTCACTCCACCAATCTGCAAAATATGTTCCACGAAAGTAGTTTGGCGGGTTGGCCTATCGCCGAGAAGTTCGATTGTTTGGCTCTGGAGTGGAAAGCCACACGAAAGGCCTTTCCAAACCAAAATCGAATTATCTTTCTTCCCGGAATGAGAATGATAAACTGTCCAAGTATTCACCACATCCGATGCACTTACCTAGCTAGCTATCTGTTTAGGGCCGATGTGTTCTTTGAAACGCCCCTCTACCTATCCTTTTTTTGCTAGGACTAAATATGCAAAATAAAAAAAAAACTGTGAAAGTTACTTTTGTTTTTCTTTTGATTCGTTTTAATACTCAAGACCAACTGGCAATTCAAATGTATAGTTCTTAGCTGAACGCAACATTTTCAAGGCCTGCCTTTTGTTTGCTGTTTTTATTTTTTCTTTGCAAATCATTTTTTTGTGGAATTTGGAGCAGTGACAAAGTCTATGGGTAATTTTTGTATCCGTACTATACGAGTTTTCACGAATTCACGTTCTATAACTAATAATGTAATATGTTTTCAAATTAATCGAATTTTGAATAATGTGGCCCCTTTAATTTGTGTTTTGTTAAAATATACATATGACAGTTTTTAGAAACAAGATTTAAGAATGGTCCGTTACTGACCACATTATATGTACATACTACATTATATGCAGTTAAAATAACAATTTTATGGAGATAAATAAACAAAAACCCTAAACATGTATTTAAAATTACCACCAAACAAGAAAGAAAGTAAACTTCGGCAAGCCGAAGTTCATATACCCTTGCAGCTATTGCAATAATTAAACATTTTTGAAAACATTAAAATTATGATTTACTGCGTATATGTTTAAAAACATTGAAGCTATGATGATTTGCAGCTCAATTATTTGATAGTTATTTTATATATTTTTATTGTTCCTATGGGAGCTATATGATATAGTCGTCCGACTTTGATGAAACTTAAACCGTAAATTGGAAATATTTAACCATTACTAAATGTCGAAGAACTAAACAAAAAATTAAAAAACAGAAAAGTTATAATTTTTTTCATTTATTTCTCCGATTGTTCCTATGGGAGCTATATGATATAGTCGTCCGACTTTGATGAAATTTAAACCGTAAATCGAAAATATTTAACCATTACTAAATGTCGAAGAACTAAACAAAAAATTAAAAAACAGAAAAGTTATAATTTTTTTCATTTATTTTTCCGATTGTTCCTATGGGAGCTATATGCTATAGTCGTCCGATTTTGATGAAATTTTTACCATAATTCTGAAATATTTAACCATTGCTTTATGTCGAAGAACAAAACAAAAAATTTAAAAACAGCAAAGTTATAATTTTTTTTCACTTATTTTTCCGATTGTTCCTATGGGAGCTATATGCTATAGTCGTCCGATTTTGATGAAATTTAAACCAAATTTCTGAATTATTTAACCATTGCTATATGTCGAAGAACTAAACAAAAAATTAAAAAACAGCAAAGTTATAATTTTTTTCATTTATTTTCCGATTGTTCCTATGGGAGCTATATGCTATAGTCGTCCGATCCGGCTCGTTCCGACTTATATACTACCTGCAATAGAAAGACAACTTTTGGGAAAGTTTCATGCAGATAGCTTTAAAACTGAGAGACTAGTTTGCATATAAACGGACGGACAGACGGACAGACGGACATGGCTAGATCGACTCGCCTAGTCATGCTGATCAAGAATATATATACTTTATAGGGTCGGAGATGTCTCCTTCACTGCGTTGCAAACTTCTGACTGAAATTATAATACCCTCTGCAAGGGTATAAAAACACCACTTACAGCAATTAAAAATTGTTGTAAGTTCTTTTTATAAGCAAGAAAGCAAGCTTCGGAAGACCGAAGTTTATATACCCTAGCAGCCTAATCAAAATGTATTATTTTATAAATCGACTATGCATATATGGACTATTTTTTTTTTAAATAGGAAGTTGTATGATTTTCCGACTAATGTTTCTATTGCAGCTTGTTTAATCTTCATAAATCAATTTTTTAAATCGTTTAAAATAACTATATTTTGAGGTATTTTTATATATATATGCGGCGATCTGTAATAACATTAACTTGAGTGACTTGTTTAGAACGAGTCGATTGGTGGTGCTGACCAAGAATACACATATATGCTTAAAATAATCAAACATTTCTTTTTCAGTGCTTTGTAAACTTCAGAATGAAATTACATTTCCCTCTGCAAGGGTATAATGACTGAATATATCGCTGCGGATACTATTCTCAGCTTTCAGAGATAATGGTTATTCAGACCCATCTCGAATACTTACGAGAGCATAAACCGCAATCAAGCGAAATGGTAAAGAAATCGAAAGAAAACACTCCGCGGATACTGGAACGGTCGAACAATGAACTTGTACTGTGCGCTGCCACGATGCGTCGTCAACGCTCCGCTTCGCTGCCACCGTCGTTCCTTTCTCGAAGATGAAGATTACCCATGGACCGCGTCATTGGCATTATCAATGTCAGCCTGGCCAGCAGGAACATAGAGCATGGGCAACGCAAACGTGGGCCAGTGAGATAAAGAATTAGCCGGCATTTGGGAGCCAGACTATAAATACACCGACTCACTTAGGCCGTGTGCCTTTCCGAGTTTCCGTAAAACTCTGCCTCGGCACCTTTTGGCTGTGCGAGTGTACCGGGTGCATTGACCCGAAAGGGCGGAACTCCAATTCAAATGCGGAGCGATTTGCTGCTAGTTTATTGATTTAAGTGCCCCCCGCCAGCAGAAGGCACAACAATAGCCATGCCCCAAATACAACGACTTGGGTGTCGTACACAGAGGAAAATTCCGAAAAATATTAATTATACAAAAAATAATAGTCCTGTCAATTGGATCTAATCTACTATTATTATTAATGTGCATTTTTATGGTCTTTACTAATTATAGTAAACTCACACAGCAGTACAAGAAACAACGAATTCTATTCGCTTACTTGGTTTGTTTACTGCTTTATTGATTTTATTTTTATCGCTCCATTATATGACTTGTTTGTCAATTTTGGTGAGTAGATATAATTAGTTTGCTGCATAGAAAAATTAAGTCCGACATTATATCACCAGTGTCTGTTTAACAATGCAAAATTTACCATTGATTCGAATTGATTTTCAATATATATACATATATCGAAATAGTATCCGACTATAAATGTTGTCACAGTACTCACTCAAAACAGTGGACTTGCTAATATTTGTTGACTATTTTATGATTGTTATCTGGGAGATTATTAGTGCCTTGTCAACAGGCCAATCCAAAGACCATAATCTTATTGAACAGCGGATGTTTTTTTTTCGATAGCGCCGCTTTCATACAGACCACCTGATACGTCTCATAAAAAGAGAATAAATAAATATTCTCCAAAAAGCTTTATTTATGTTTGAAATCTTAGACGCTCTTTGGAGGTCTAACTTTTAAGAAACTGTTTTAATGTGCAAAACGTTGTGAGGCAAATTCCAAATTGTTTAGTCATTGACATCTGCCATTTTGTTATGAGTAACAACTGAATGGATGACCTCCTCTAGTATTATTTTCAGTGTATCTTGTTGTGGCTGTCGATAAGTAAGTGTATGCATGTGTGCGAGTGTGGGCGCGTGCAGCGGAAGTTGAATGCGAACTAATTAAGCAGAACCAGGAAAACGGAAAAGAGCAGCGAAAAATGGGGATTAGTGCCCAAAACGGGGCCTTGCAATCTAACTAACCCACTGCGCCGTTAAAACGTCGTTCATATTTTGTCCATATTTCAAATTTCCAAATGTGATTCAAGCTGAAGCAGGGTGGAAGTGTGTCAGCGACAGTAAGCTGTTTGAGCAACAAATAAACATTCCAATATTATGAAGCCAAATCCGCGTGAGAGCGTTTGAGTGCTTTTTATTTTTGAGTGGGGAAACCGAAAAGAAACCGGCAAGAGATTGGAACAACAAAAAGGCCAGAAAGCTGCGTCGGCGTAGCTGATTTCAATTAAGCCAATAAAAGAAGTAACTCGAGCTAAAAGAAAACAAAACAAGTCCGAGAATTGTTGGTAGCTGGACGGACACACACACACACACTCTGAAATGCGGGGGTTTGACAGATAAACCGTAGAGGAGTGACGTCATCGAAGTGGAGGCTTGAAACAACACCTGAAACAGGAAAGAGCCCAGAAAACATGGTTTCCCCGCTTTTCCTCGTTTTCCAGACGTTAATGCCATCGGGGGTTGGGCACTTTAGCCACTACACACTGCACCGGAATTTTTGCGGCCTCTTTTTTTTTTGCGGCTGTGGCAAGAACTCACAAACACACACACACTCGCACGTTAAGATGATAGTCACTCACACACGCACACAACCAGGATAGGGAATTTTATTTTTGGAGGAGGAAACAGCAGCAGGCGACATTTAAATATACAACGAACACGCACGCACACAGGCGCACGGATGCTCCGCAATGTACAGCAATTTCGTCCGAGTGTGCACTTGAAGTTTTCGGCAAAGTTATTTTAAGTTATTGCGCCACATACCGATGAACTTTCTTTTCTGCTGACGCTACTTCTAGGTTTTGCCATTTCTTCTGCTCTCTTCTTTTTTTCGCGAAAAAGTCGAGAAGCCGCACACACACACACACACGCAACTCATACACAGGCCCTGACTCATACGGACGCAGTGGCACAGTCAACCGGTAAATCCTCAGATCCTCTGATAAACTCACCTTTTCAGTTGGTCGTAGTCCTTCAGGCCGAGGGCGTTTTAAATAATTGCTGGACTTTAAACAAAGAAATGCAAATATAATGACGAACCGTCTTCTTGCAAACGAGCGAGCGCTAGGGATGTAAAATGTACACTGATGCATCGGCCGCCCAGCGCAGGTCCGCATGGAGGGCTATCGATAGGAGTTAGAGATGGGCGATGTTGCGCGGCGGAATCTCTGCATTTTGACTGTTATATTTAAAACTTTTCAAATGTATTTTAAAATATGAAACTATATAAAAAATTGTAATAAGTGCGAACAAAATATTACCATTTCCTTGACCCTATTTAGACCTGGTCAAGTGCTAAACGCGCACATTATTAGAAATTATTTATAGCTTTTTTTTAAACAAACTGAATAGTTTTCTCATTTTTGATGAAAATCTTTTGAGGTGTACAAACATGTAAGGTTGAATTGTACCAATTTTCACTTTAGGGCATTCGACTAAACATTTATTTAATTAAAAAATTCAAACAACAGTTTTCGAAGAACATAAATACGAGGGGTACTACTACCCTTACTTCCAGAACTAGCAACACTCTTATCAAAAGCGGCAAATAATCAGTTAAGTAAGCTTTGTTATTATTAGCTATTCACGAAATATAAAAAGAAGGAGTACAATTACCATATAACAATGAATTTACTAAAAAAATCATTCTTAATACTAATAAATGCAGTTCCGTTTTTAGACTTGGAATATTACAAAAAATAAACACTGTTAATTTTAAAATCAGTAAATATGGATAAATTTATCGTACGTTTCGGATAAATGTATAATTTTTTAAGGATTACAAAAAAAACATTAACTGTTTCAGTAACACATTGATTTACAATTATCTGATCCCATTGAGTAAGTATTCTACACTTACGTTCACGACCTGTTCCTCGACTTTTTTTTAAATAAACACTTGGTGGTAAATTACACGATTAACAAATTACTTAACGCTAATAAATGCAACAGTTTCGACATAACGGCTGGCATTAAATGCCTTTAAATGCATCCAGAGTTCCCTTCATTCGCAAGCAAATCAAATTTACATGCGGAAGACACCAAATTTGGTGTCCTGGCCAGCATTGTTAACGGCTGCCTTTAGGCTGAGGCCCAGGACCTGGCGGGTGTTGGCCGGATCGATGATGCCGTCATCCCATAGGCGAGCCGTACTGTAGTACGGTGAACCCTCCGCCTCGAACATTTCAACAATGGGTGCCTTAAGCCTTTGGGCTTCCTCTTCGCTGAACTCCTTGCCAGCTCGCTTGCGCTGGTCTTGGGTGATCTGAGCCATAACATTAGCCGCCTGTGTGCCTCCCATCACGGAGATGCGGGAGTTTGGCCACATGTAGAGGAACCGCGGCGAGTAGGCCCGCCCGCACATGCCGTAGTTGCCGGCACCGTAGGATCCGCCGATTATCACCGTGAACTTGGGCACATTGGCGCAGGCCACGGCTGTGACCATCTTGGCTCCGTTCTTGGCAATACCATTCGCCTCAGCGTCGCGTCCCACCATGAAACCTAGGTCAAGCGAGTCAGAATATTGAAGACTAGCTATGTTTATGAGCTACTAACCTGTAATGTTTTGCAGGAAGACCAGAGGTATCTTGCGCTGTGCACACAGCTGAATGAAATGGGCACCCTTAAGGGCGCTCTCCGAGAAGAGCACTCCATTGTTTCCGACTATTCCCACCGTGTGGCCATAGAGCTTCGCGAATCCGCACACCAAGGTCTCGCCGTACAGCTTCTTGAACTCCGTGAAGCGACTTCCGTCTACGATGCGGGCAATCACCTCGCGAACGTCGAAGCTCTTGGTGAGGTTGGGGCCCACAATGCCGTACAGCTCGCGGGGATCGTAACGCGGCTCCTCTATGACAGCTGGCGGATTAGCACCCTGAAAGCAGTCCTGGCTGGAGTGAACTAGCTGATCGTTGTAGGCATTCGTGGCGGGCAGATTCAGGTTGCTCACAATCTGCCGAGCCAGATACAATGCGTGCTCGTCGTCCACGGCGTAGTGGTCCGTGACTCCCGAGGTCTTGCAGTGCAGGTCCGCACCTCCCAAATCTTCTGCGGACACCTCCTCTCCAGTGGCTGCCTTCACCAATGGCGGGCCAGCGAGGAAAATGGTTCCCTGCTTCTTCACAATGATGCTCTCATCGGCCATTGCCGGCACGTAGGCTCCGCCAGCCGTGCAGCTGCCCATGACTACGGCGATCTGGGGAATTCCCTGGGCCGACATGTTCGCCTGGTTATAGAAGATGCGTCCGAAGTGCAGTTTGTCTGGGAAGACTTCCGCCTGGCGCGGTAGGTTAGCGCCACCCGAGTCCACTAGGTAGATACAGGGCAGACGGTTTTCTTGGGCGATCTCCTGGGCGCGCAGATGCTTCTTCACGGTGATGGGATAGTAGCTTCCGCCCTTTACCGTGGCATCGTTGGCCACTACCAAACACTCCGTCCTAAAGAGAAAATTTTACATTAATAAAAGTACATATCTAATTAAGTTATAATTGCCATGAAATATATGAATCTAAAAAAAAACTTATTTAGGAATATTAAAAACAGTGTACTGTTTTGTATTCTCAAAACATTAGGGATCTCTATTTAAAACTTTTTGGAAAATAAAAAAAAGCAAACTAAACAACTTTTTTCATAATTCTGTTTTAAGAAAATGAGGCTTAAAACCTTTAAACTGTGATGCAACAGAACGTACCCACAAACGCGTCCCACTCCGGTCACGATTCCGCCGGAGTTGACCACCTCCTCGCCGTACAACTCGTGTCCGGCCAAAGCACTTAGTTCCAGGAAGGGCGATCCTCTGTCCAGGAGCAGGTTGATGCGGTCCCTGGCCAGGAGTTTGCCCCTCGAGGTGTGACGCTCGATGGCCTTCTGCCCGCCGCCCTGCAACACCTGGCTGGTGAAGTTGCGCAGCTCTCCAACCAATCTCCCCATCTCGCTGGCATTTTCCTGGGGGAAAACTGTGATTTCAGATCGTGCACGTAAATAGTCGAGTGTTTATCTGTACCTTGTATTCGGCGGACTGTTTGTCCACCTCGCTGGGCAGAACATTGGCCTCGCCCACGTGGAGCAAGCGCACCTGGCTGCGCAGCACCTTCGAGGAGCTCCTTAACAGCCCATTCAGCCGGATCATTTTAGGGGGGATGATTTTTACGGGAGTTAAAAGCTGTTTTTACCACGCGAGTGGGGCCGAATGTTACGTCAGTTTTGTGCGGGCGAGCTGATAGCGATAACAAACACAGCAACAGCTGGTCGATCGCGATAGCGGCAACTATCGTTTGCGAAAAGAAATCGATGTTGAGTTGCACACAAAGAAATAATTGGTTCGTTTCAATTTGGTCTGTTCGTTTGAGTAAATTTGTTTAAATTTATCAAATGAGACAACTATATTTTATTATATCTCAAGAATTTAGAGAGTTTTTGGAAAATGGGTTGAAAACAAAAATTGTTAACAGGTTTCCTATTTGTTTACCGAAAAAATCGTAATACTAAGAACCTTTTAAGAAATTTCTTTCATACGAATTTGTATATACTTTTAGTTGAAATTTAGTTTAAATGTACATATATATTTATCAGAGCTTTTTAAAACTTTTACGCAAAAAATTATTTTAAAAATTATTCTAGCTATTAGAGATCTCGACGTTCATACAGACGGACAGGGATTTATTTAAACGGCTATTGATCCCTATCAATAATAAATATGTATGTACATTTATTTGAGTCCGAAACTCTTTCTTCTGCTTGTTAGATATTTTGCTCTATGAAAACGGGCTAACAAAAAAATTGTAGCAATTTTTAAGAATTTAAGGCACACATTGTGTGTCTACAGAAAAACATGATTTTCGAAACATATTTAAATTATTAAAATCTTCTAAACAATTTGAGCTTATTTTTTATGTTATATTATACTATTATCATTATAGATTAGCTATATTGATCGATATGAAACGACATTATTTATTGGTTTTCTAACATTTATTAATTGCAACACTCTAGCTGAGACCGCTTTAGGAATTGAACTTGAGACTGTGTAACAGAAAAAACAGCCAACTACGAAAAGGTGCATTGCTTCCATGCTAAAAGTTCTATGAACTTTAGATACGATTCATTACACAATTTGAGTTAACATGATTTGTGATTGTGCAGGTCGCTCTAGATGGTAAATACTAATTTATATTGATTTACGTAGTCAGCAGTGGGCTTGTTAACGGAGCTAAACAATCACTTGACAAGCATAAACATTGGCTTGCTTAAATTTATTAACTTAGCTAATTTAGAGTTAGATGTAGTTGTAGATTTCTCTTAAAGCGTTTCGAAAAAGTTGTACTACAAAAATATGATGCATCTGCGCCTTGCATGATTCACTTGATCTTGATTTTGTGGAGCTTCAGCTTGAAGCCCAAAACCTCGCTTAGCACGCCCGAAAGGGCCGACAGGATGACAACCTTGATGGTTGTGAATAGATATGGGTTGGCACTGAGGCCAGAGATCTTGAATGGTGTTTCGAGTTCCTTTAGCAGATCGGCGGCCAGCTTGAGCACGCTGTTTGACACCATCAGCTCGTCCTTCTTCTTGGGCTTCTGCTCGATTTGCAGATACAGGTTGATTTGCTCCGTGATCAGCACCGACACGCTACGGTACTTGTGCTGAATCTTCTGGCCCAGGGTCATGAATCGCAGCAAGAAGATCCCGATTGTGATTGACCACATGAGGGCCTCCAGTGTAAGGTGCGTGTGCAGGTGCACCGAGTCTTTCAGCCACTCGACGCTTAGGAAGGCCAGCAGCAAAAGGGTCACTATGAAGGCGGCGGAAACGATGATATCCACCGATCGCTGCGGACCGCGTTTCTATGGGTGATCATAATTAAATACTTGCTTCAAGAAATGCGTGGATATGCTAAGCTCACCTTCAGATAGGATCGTACGCTCAGCCAGGTCTTGATGTTGCGCACCTTGTTCAGGCGGAAGTGCGGCAGATTTGACTTGCGAGCCCGACGCGATGACGTGAGATGAGAGAAGAGTTTGGCGTAAAGGAAGCGCTGCTTGAAGGTGCGTTCTGCAACGGCGAATATAATGAATAGGATGCTGGTCAGGCAAAGGCGCTGCACAAAGCCAAGGGCCAGGACGGTGCGCTCCCACTGAGTATCGCCGAAGGCAAAGCCCAGCAGGGTGAAAAACGAGGACGACGACTTCTCCCACAGTAGCTGCGGCATGTAAAGGTAGCTTATCTCACTGGCCTTCTCTGCGTCGCTACCGAGTGTGACCTGAATGCGTTTAACAATATTCATATTATAATTTTCTGCCAACACATTAGCTTAGGTACATACCTCGCAGAGTCGGCAGAAGATGGGGATTAGTGTGAGCAGAAAAGAGAACACCACGCCTATGTAGATGTAGTCGTTGGCCTCGCCCATCGAGTCCACGCGTTCAATTATGCAAGAAGCTATCTCCAGCACGGAAAGCTGCGCCTTTTTGGCGTCGCGCTGATCCCAAATTGTGCAGCTAACTGGGGTAAGTATATGGAATTATGATAATAAGGCAAAATGTAAATATAATTATAGGAACTAAGCTCTAGCACTCACTTCGGTCCAGACTGCTGTGGGGGTTAAGTATGGTGGTAGGCGTGATGTCCAGCTCGCCAGGATCCTCGTCGCTGCAGGCCGTGTGCTTCAAGCCGCCATCGGAGTGGTCAAGGTCGGAGGTGTAGCTGCAGTCCTCGCTGTTGGTAGTCACCCCCAGCCAGTCGGTGGCAGAGGTGGTGCACTCCTGATTGCAGGCCGAAGCAGGACTGGATATGATGTCCGCGTCATCGCACTCGTCCGACTCGGCGCAACTAGATGTGGACTCGTTGCCGCGCGACTGCGCCTTCTTCTCCGCTGGAGGAGGAGCACTGTTAGAGCTGCTGTTTGCCGTGTTAAGACGCAGGCGCAATTGATTGCTCTGGACAGGAACTGGGGGCACGGCATTAGTCCCACTATTGGGCAGAGGCGAGTGGTTGTTGTCCTCGCCGCTGGAGCTCTTTCCGTTCAGGCTCTCGAAGCCATCATCCTCGCCAATACTGCGGCGCGACTGGTAGGCGGTTCTGGGAGACCCCACACTGTTTTCTCCATCCGCTTCCACTTGATTTTCTCCGCCGAGCCCACTAGAGGAAGGCTGCTCGGTGCGCTCGTATGTGGCGTAGATCTGAATGGGCGTGTGCCAGTTGACGTTGCGCTTTTTGGGGCTTTCGGGGGCCGCTCCGCCCGTCTGCCTGCTGAGATCGAAGCGCGCGTCTGTGACGGCCAGCGGTTGCGGTAGTGCGCTGACGGCAGTGGTGGTCAGATAAGTCTCCTCTTCGTTGCTTCGCCTGATTAGAACGGGGGGTGGTGTGGCCAGCAGGATGGGATCGGGCACCACGGTGCCACAGGTGCCCGTGGGCGAGGCCAAAGGCGTGACGGGTCTGGGTAGCACTTCGATGGCACTGGCTGTACTGCGTCTGGTTGGTATTGAAATGTTGCTGCTGGCCTGGGACAAATCCGCTTCCATTGGACGAATGCTGCAGAGAAAGGATATTAATAATGGCATCTAAGACCATACTCTTCACTTACCGCACAAACTTCTTGCGACGTCGCACACGATGCTCGCGGTTCGAGGCCTTGTCTCCTACGCAGCTCACGGAGATGCGCCGCAGCTTATTCTTGCTGGTTCCGCCTGAACCACCCGTGGCGGTGTTGGTGGCTACGATCTGCGAGTGGATAAGGCTGATCAGCAGGCTTAGGGCGCACGGGATGAGCAGGGCGCTAAGCAGGTCGACATGCTCCTCGGTCTGCTTATCTGCATCCCCATCGGAACCATCTCCAGTTGCCTGTGCATGGAGAAGAGTGCCGTTCAACGGATTGTCATAGACTGACGGCACTATGCGACTACTATGCAACACGTAGATGGCCCAGTTGGACAGTTGGGTGAGGTAGAGGATCAGGATGAAGCCAAAGGCGTTGGGCGTGGTCTGCTTGACCCACCACTGCGCATAGAGAGGCAGCAGGACATAGCGCAAAATGGCCAGACGGATCACGGTGAGCAGTGATTGTTTGGGCTTGGCTTTGGGGAAGGTGGAACCTGCAATATATCGTTTAGTAAACAGCACTATTAGGGCGAGTTGGGACAAAACACACCGCGAACCAAGTCCACATCGATTAGCTCAGTCTTCAGCTTTGTGTTCTTCAAGTTGACATTGTTGAAGCCATCCAAAATCCTCTGTTCGACGGTCTTCTCCCATTCTTGCTTGTCATAGGTGCCGATTTTCTTCTGGTACCTAACCACAAAAGCGGAGAATTAGATAATCCGGAGAATAATGGAGTATTGTTCGCTTACCATGCAACAATTTCATCCAATTTCATAGTAGTAATCACATAAAAGCCCCCGAGTGTCGTGCAGCCTGCAAGCGAACAAAGAAATCGTCAATTGGGTTTTACAGCTGTGCCGCTAACGATTCCAATTTATAGCGGTCTGCAATAGTGTCCGGATATAAACGGGGTGTGAAGCCGTTGTGAAGTAAACCCACTTCTCAAGTATTGCAATGGGGATTTTGCCCCACTGACTTGGCGTCGAACAGCTGCTCTGCATAACGGGTTTTGCAGGCGATTGGCCGATATCAGCTGGTGACTTTCACCTTCGCCTTGCCACGGCCCCGCCCCCCTGATAAACACCCGCCCCCGCCCCCGCCCATGTGTGCGATAAGTAGCGCCCCATTAAGAAAGGGCTATCTGCGTTTTCCGCTTTTTCGATTCGCTTGCCTTGAAAAGCGTGAAAAGCGGACGGCAAACGGTGGAACAGCTGTTTCGCTGGTGGGTGGGCGTTCATGTTTATGCACACATGCGGAAGGGGCGCAGGTATACACACAAACAAAGGGGATCGGGTTTGCTATGGGGCCCCATCTGCAATTCTGGGTTCAAGGTGAACCAATATACCCGCAGCGTTGCCCAAAGGCGGAAACGTTTGTGGGAGAAGATGCTTTCATTCATGGATGGCGCGGTTACCTTGATTTAAACCGCGTCAACGATCGATTTATTTGCGCCCAACCCAGGCTGGAGTTTCTTCCGTATCCGTTGGATCCAGGTCAAACCGATTGCGGGGAGGCACAGCACTGAAAACTACGGATCCCGTCGAGTCACTGGTAATTTTGAATGCACTACACACGCCGCGAAAGCGTTTTGCATTTGCATTGGGGGCCGAAAAGATTTGGTGCGCAGCAAAACGA